AAATAGAAAGCACCGATGCAACTTGATAATGCTTTATCAACAATAGTACAAATGAACAACTCATATAAGCACAATATGTAGTTCAATATTAAAATCGCTGTGTCTTTCCCATGCCACCAAGCTGATTGTGATTTTAATGCGCGCTTACGTTCCACTCAAGGTCTTGTTACATTTACTTAGGAACTTTGTGCAAATTCTTGCATTAAACAGCTAGCCAAATCCATTGTGTAGGGGCTAGTGATACTCCTTGAATGTGCAAACTTCGAACTCGTGTCTGAGGGGTTGAAAACCAATAATTCACATCTCCACATATGCTTCCAGTAATGTACAAATTCAGATAAAACATAACCTACCTTCCTTATCCTTACCTATTCCGTTTCCTTCCTTAACCCCCTCACACTGTGACCACTGTCAACTATCCAAACCAACGAACACCATTCAGTCTCCTTAAACGCAGCTGTCGATTTTAAACTGATGCTTTCAACTTCAGAACAGTATGCCAAATCGAGAAACTAACATATCTTGCCAGAGATCTGGAATCTTGGCCATGGGTGCATGGTGTATTTGTAAGGCACATATGGGACCGAATGTGACTCTTCACTTAACCTCATCTGGTCAGTGTGTTGAGTCTATGAAATTCATACTTGGGTTCTGTAGAGATTCTCGCATACCGTTAGTTGGGGATGCGTAATCTGGAGTTACTGGGTGAACAAAATAATATTGGACTGAGAGTTTACACCAATCGGAAAGTATGAATAGTGGGGCTCAACTCTTGCATTTATATACATTGTGAGCGTCCTTGGGCTGAAGAATAAATCAGCACGTGAAAGATGGAAGATAACCAGTAGGTACTAACTCGATGCAACTATCCTTCATCCCATGGTGCTACTTCATAAACTGACCACACTTCTGCTTCATCCATCCAGTCCCAGAACTAACACAAAATGAACGGGATGAGAGCTGTTAGGACGTCATGCGTAACACATCCAAGCCACTGAAGTCGGTGTTTCCAGATGACTTCACTTATCGGATGATGATCTCCATCACGCCCAAACACATGCTATCGTACTCAGAAGTACTTACATGGTGTTGCCGCTGGATACAAGCAATCCTACAGAAACAAAATGATCAAACACACAGGGTCGTCGCATATCCTCAACCCGAATAGACCAGGTTTCACAGGTGTAGAGCAGAACTGCTCACACCGAAGCGTTTTAAATCCGACAGTTTAGAATCAGACCAAGGTGGTGACGGTGCCTAAGGTGTCCCAGACTGATGTATGACACTGACTTTCGATGTGCGACTAGGGATTTCATCAGATACTTCCACCAGCACTCACACAACTACCCGGACGACACATGAACTTTTCGATTACTTCTAACAGCCCACCACCGAGGTTGAGAGGAGGTGTAGGCACAGGTTTCTGCCAATCTTGCAAAATTGCCTTGCACTTCGATGGTGCAAAGCACAAAATATACTCACAGACACTAATCGCCAACTGATTAGGTGTTATTTGAGTAGCCTGTATGTTATTGCAGAGTAAGACGATATCGTTCGCATATTTAAGATCGAATAGGCGTTCTCCGGGTAGTAAACCTACACCATCATGACTCACTTTCTCTACAGCTGTCTCAGGAATGTCATCCGGCAATCCTGACAACCCTGCTGCTGGTTTGGAACAATGGAGACAGATGGTTGCATGAGCCCCTATATACGTTGTGTCTACTCCTATCTAAGGCTGCAACAATAACTGTGGCCCTCATTTCAGGTAAACACTGATGGAATTCAGTTCAGCTAATACTTTCACAACTTATATGCAGACACGGACTAGGACAAACTTAATTTCGTTCTTGAAGTGTATTGATGGGAACATGAAAACTGTCAACTAATGTTGTATAGTAAGCACTGAAAAACATCAACAGCTGCGGTCTACGCTCACTTGATACTGAAGATCAGATCAATCGCCAGAGTAATAAGAAAAAGCAACAAGGAACTCTGGCTGGTTGACTGGCTGGCAACCAACCAACCAAGAACCTATCACCTAACAAATATACAGAGGAAGAAAGTGGAGATGGAGATGGACTGGGCATACACTGAGAAGACCGATTAGGGACATCACGCGCCAGACCAGACCCGCGAGTGGAAGCCAAATGGGAAACGACGACTTGGACGTCCGAGGTGAGGATGACATGGAGGACATCATGTGAGGAAGAAATGAAAGCTTCTGGCCAGACGTGGATCCAGGTTGAAAGGTAAGACTGCAGAGAAGAGAGTGCAGTGGAGACGTGCTACTCAAGCCCTATGTTTCACTAGGAACCCAAGGGACAAATAATAATAATAATAATAGTAGTAGTAGTAGTAGTAGTAGTAGTAGTAGTAGTAGTAGTAGTAGTAGTAACGATAGTGATAATAATAATAATAATAATAATAATAATGATAATATCAGTAATAACGATAAAAATAATAGCAACAATAATAATAACCAGGGTTCTGCAGACAGCTTCTTGTATAAGACAATTTCGAAAGAGTTATGCAACTCAGTACTTTCTCGAAATTGAAACCAGCGGCGTGACCGCACTATCTTACATTAAATCGATCGGTGGTGTAGTTGATTTCTTCCAAGTATTGTTTTCTTATTTATTATTTGTCCCTTGGGTTCCTAGTGAAACATAGGGCTTGAGTAGCACGTCTCCACTGCACTCTCTTCTCTGCAGTCTTACCTTTCAACCTGGATCCACGTCTGGCCAGAAGCTTTCATTTCTTCCTCACATGATGTCCTCCATGTCATCCTCACCTCGGACGTCCAAGTCGTCGTTTCCCATTTGGCTTCCACTCGCGGGTCTGGTCTGGCGCGTGATGTCCCTAATCGGTCTTCTCAGTGTATGCCCAGTCCATCTCCATCTCCACTTTCTTCCTCTGTATATTTGTTAGGTGATAGGTTCTTGGTTGGTTGGTTGCCAGCCAGTCAACCAGCCAGAGTTCCTTGTTGCTTTTTCTTATTACTCTGGCGATTGATCTGATCTTCAGTTTCAAGTGAGCGTAGTGGAGAGAGAGAGAGAGAGAGAGAGAGAGAGAGAGAGAGGACACATCAGCGAATTGGTTTCTTGAAGGCTTTCAGTAAGCGGCGTTATTTCATCTTTCCGATTGAAATGAGGAATAATTTTATTTTTATTTTTTATATTTTCTTAATGGTTTGAAGTTTGTTTGGGTATTGGATTGATTTTGTGGGTGTAGGGTTACTAGCCGTATGCCTAACCTTTCCTCTTTATTCGGGTTTGGGACCGTCTAGTAACTATTGGTGTAGTTAACCAGACGACGTTCTCATTGATATGTCAATATTATCTGTTACCATTGATGTCAATGACCTTATTGTTGTTACTTGGGTTTAAAGTTTGACATGCGTTAATTTTGGCTATAGGGTATATCTAACGGCGTCTTAAGTCGAGGAGTTGCGTAATATGTTAAGGTCTCCATTTAACGAGTCATTGACTGACCAGCAGCTGCTGGATTACGAACAGCTATTCTTTGCATGTTGCCTAGTCCTATATGCTGGCTGAAATCTAATGATTATTGTTTACTATGGTCCCTAAGCTGCTAGAAGACTCATCATCGCGGTGCATTTCAACTGAAGTTGGTTGTTTGGGGGCGATTGACTGGGAAACTGCACCTGATTTAGGTTTCAAGTTTTATTAGCACAAGTTAACAAGCCATATACGTAGCCTCAGGGGTTGGAAACTATGTCACGTTTTCCTTTAGTCGCAGATCTTAATATTGAGCTATACAGGCCGCTAGTGACCTCATTATCAACAAGATTAACATAGGAACAGGGATTACTGCGTAATGATCCGAGTTGTCATACCTCTTATCAAAACATCAAGTAACAAAGCAAGATGAAAAATGAAGAAAGAAAAATCGGTCAAAAGAAGTAGAAAGTAGTAAAAGCTCGGATGGACGAATGAGATGATGCTGAATTCAGTATAGCGTTTAAGATGAAGATGATGTGTGTATACATCTGCGCCACTGACATCGATTCTGAGCCATGCCATCTAAAGTTTTGCAACCAAATGGTCTATACTATCGTGTGGACCCCAAGCGGGAAGTTCACATTTCCCTACATGGCTCAAAGGAACAGTAAAAGACTTCATACGGTGATGCTATGTTCTGGTCTCTCCATTTCGAGTTCTTTTCCAGCCTGAACCTACTTTAGCTAACATTGTGCAATGAGATAGACGGTAACTAGGGATACATAAGACATGTCCCAACCACCTGGTTCAATAAAGCTTGACAACCTCACCAACTGACTAACCTCTCCTACCTAAAACTCTACATTTACTTTCTGCATTGCTCAGGTAGTGACACGCAATTCACCTAGTGTCGAACTGGATTAGATACTGTAAACTGATTACTGTAGATTAAGCAATTTTATGACAGCAGGAAGTTGATTTTTCTCCAGCCACCAGTCAATATATCCAATCGAGTCGTACATGAAGTCAATCGCGACCTGTATAGCTCGCTAATAACGTCTATGACTTCAGCATCATATGACCCAGGTTTCATTCCTCATGTCTGCAGACAGACCTTACTGATGAGTGCCAACGAGCTAACTAAACCGACTACGTTCAACTAACGAACAGCTATTCTGTGTCGCCTCAGTGACATGCATAGAATACGTTACAGCCACAGTGTATGCGTATCTAAATTCAAGTGTTAATTTCGTTTTTTTATAACCAAGTAAATTTCAATTTCCATCCTGTTTTCTTTTCATTTTTTTCTAGACTGCAATAATCCTACAAAAAATGATACCATTCAACTTGATATCACATTATAGTTCAGGCGTGTCTTTGGATTGAACTCTGTGTTATATCAAAAACTTGATGTGATTAACGTTTTTCTTACTAGAAAAGTGAGAATTTAACCGGATAACTAATCAGTTCTACGAGGTTTTTTCTTACCTCTCTCTCTTTCTCTCTCTAATTTTTTTGGAGTTGCTGGTCATCACAATGTCTGAAGAGGATGAGAAATCCAGAGAAATTGTAACATCATATGATGAGATATTAGAAATAACTGGATTATTAGCCATGCGTGAAACTACACTGCCACGTGTAAATGAAGATAAAGAGAATTCTGATCCACACACTAGTGGCAGTGGTAGTAGTAATGATGATGTTATAATGCCAGTGATGAGTTCCATTAAACTACAACCGGCCTCCAGTTTATTGTCAATCAATGAAGAAGGTAATAATACAAAATGCAGGACAATTTCAATTGCTAAAACAAAAAATAATGATGTTGGATTTGTCTTTGTCGAAATAAAACAGGTATTACCATTATTATTATTATTATTATTATTATTATTATTATTATTATTATTATTATTATTACTATTGAATTTTTATCCCTTAAGTTCCTAGTGGAACATAGAGCTTCAGTAGCACGTCTCTATTTCACCCTCTTCTACTCAGTTTTTTCAACCTAGTTCCACGACTGCACAGAAGCTCAACTCGTTGTTTCCTATTTGGGTTCCACTCGAAGGTCTGGCCCAGCGCGTGATGTCCCTAATCGGTCTTCTCAGTCTGTGTCCAATCCAATCGATCTCCACTTTCTTCTGAATATTTATTGGGGGATAGGTTGTTAGTTGGTTGGTTGCCAGCCAGTCAACCAGCCAGAGTTCCTTGTTGTTTATTCTTATTACTCTGGCGATTGATCTGATCTTCAGTATGAAGTGAGCGTAGTTAGCAGCTGTTGATGATGTATGTCTGTAGTTTGTTGGAAATGCTTTTCGTAACGCTGCGCCAAGTTTCTGAACCATCACATAGCAGAAGTGACTGACTTGAGTGAGTTAGTGTTGAGAATTGGTATCTTGTTGACGCTGTATGCTGAGTACAGTGCAGTGCAGTGCAGAGCAGAGCAGTAGATCTTCGCACTGATTTCAGATTAATGAAGACCTGTCTTACTATCCTTCCTATCGTGACTTTGACATCGTCATGTGTGCCTGTGCCGCGTGTATTTGAGACGATGCTGCCTAGGTAGTTAGGTAAGTGGAAGAGACTACTTTGTTTATATTTCTGCCGTTGGTGGTGATTGATGCTTGTTGTTGTTTGAGTATCTTCATCACCTTTACCTCTGTCTTCTCTACGTTCACTGAGAGTCTTGTCTTTGCTGTCCTGCCAAGCAAGCGTCTTCTATCAACTTGTTGGTTTTTGCCTGTAGATCTTCGATTGTGTGCAACATGATATATTAGACATCAATGATCATCGTTGGTGAAATCGCAATGTTCTTGTGGTGTTTTTTCATGTCATGGGTGAGACAGCGTATGCCTCTCTTCTTGTTCATCACAATTTGTTGTATGATGCAATACAGTGGATCAGAATGAGGAAGATGATTGGTGATATTAGGCGGCAGCCTTGTCTTACTCCTGTGATTATCATTATTATTCTAGGAGCTATAATTCAACGGTCGTTTACAAATTTATGCACATTGTGTTAGGAGCTACACTTCTTTTCGAATGGTCAAACAGACAGAGGAGATTGACGTAAAATCTCGGATACATGTGAATTGGTTCAAGTTGCCACACCTCACTGTAGTATACAAAGAATAGCCGGATTGGATAAACTGATAACAGAGTAGACAAAGGTGTATTAGAGGAGGGGGGATTTCAAATCTAAGTTTAGTCAAAGCACTTAAGCTTTAGAAAACGCCAAAGAATGAATGAATCTACGCCACTGTGACCACTTTTCATCCGTTTTACCAAGAGTTCTCACCCACTGATTTCTATCGTATGGAGGACTCCAGTAAGATAATCTACATCGCCTTACACGATTCAAACCAATAGTCAGCGATTTTATGAACTGGTGCTACATCTTCTTCTGATCATCGTTAGCCTTTTTCCAGCCTAATCGAACTTCTTCTAGCATGGCACCTTGATGTAACCGGTGGCTCAACATGGTTAGTATACGTCCAAGTCATTTCAGTCGATGAATGTTTACGCAAAGACTCTTGTAATCGAAAATCTGTAACTGCTTCATGTCTTATACTTTTAATGACCATTTCATACAGCTGTATAACAGGATAGAATGGCTTGCAGCGTAGTAAATTCATCACTTAACAGGTGGTCGAATATGTTGTCAGCAGACTCCAGAGTTGATGCAAGTCTGCAAATGCCAAACGAGCCTTCTGTATCCAAGCTGAGATTTTTGCCAGTAACTCCCTATGTAAGTGAACTGGTCGATGCATCACACCACTTCTGTGTGTTAGATATATTGATTATCTAATATAGGAGTAAAAATTCAGGACTGTCGCAGATTTTAATCCCATTTTAGTGTTACATAGTGAAGGAATAGTCTCATTTACTCGATAACGTTTCCAATATCCTTTGTTGTCCATATTCATATGAGGTAACTAACTTCACAACTTCGAGACAGACCTTGTAAAGTCCTAATTTTCTCTCCTTATCTGTGATGATAAGGGTAGTAGAATTTTCTATATATCTGGAATAGGTGCAGAATCATTTCTATTACTGAGTGTATTTGGTGTGGAATCGATAACCAGAGATTCGGTTATCAATCTCTCCTTCCACCCAACTAAGTTTTTAACACTGTCGCTCTATCCTACCCTACTGTGTGATTGTGTGTAATTGCGTGCAGAGTTATAGTCGAGCTCTTCTCTGAATTCTTTATCTTATTAGAACCTACTAATCTCGATATAGCTAAGTTGTTGTGCTCTGTTATTCTAATTGACATCGGTCCACTACTTTGACCTGTGTATTTGACCTCACAATCATTGCAAGGGATTTAGTAAACCAAATTATTTTACTTAGTTGAATCAATAGGATCTCTTATCCCACAAAGCTTGTTCCTCATCTAGTTTGTTGATATAAATGACACTTAAATTCCAGTCAGCCTTAGTGAGAATTCTTCGTGGCGATTCTGAGGTGCCTTTCTTTTATGGTAACACAGCAGAGGCTTTCAACTCTCTCTCTCAACCCTGTCATCATTATTACTACTGATCAGTAGTAGAGTTCTATGCAGTAATGATAAGGCTCGTCAGCTGGATGTACCTGCTTCCCAGTGAGTGATGTTGTTCCCACCGGGATTCGAACTCAGGACGAGTCCCGAAAAGGACGAAATGCGTATCCTGGATTCCACTGCTAGCCACTATCTATCATTACTATATATAATTAAAACACAGACAATATTGAGGCATCCGCACAGAAGCCCATATGCCAATAGAGATCTATCAATTCCGTCCAATCAACGATGGTGTAATACAAGCAATAATACTAGTAGTAGAATTATTATTAATAACACCTGCATTACTACTTTTACTTCTACTACTGCTAATATTTTTGTTTCCGTTTCTTATGGATGTATTTGTAAGTTTAGGTGGGACGCAAGGTATCCTTGATGTGCCTAACTTCTTGTCGTAGACTTTCTGTCCCATTAATAAGACTTCTTGCCCTGTCACTAAGACATTTAACTAAGCCTACTCTAACTGAGTTGGGATGAGATGATTTGAAGTCAAAGTCGCCATTCGAATGGGAGGATTTCCCATAGACACCAGTCTCTACACTTTCGACTTGTTTTCAGTTAATCTTACAAGTCAACATTGCTAACTCACTTTCATCACTATCTGAGTCATAGGTGAATTGGATTGAGTCGACTATTAACCTTTATATGTTGACAACCTGGTGATATGCTTCGATTTCCGTATTGTGAACGTGTCATCTACATACTGGAATCGCATCTTCGGAATAGGATAAAGTGTTGAAATGGCCATCAGTTCTCAACTATCTATAGGTATGTCTGAGACGATTGGAGATATTGGTGATCCCATGGTAACCCATTCAGTTTGTTTTATTATTCTATTTTGAAAACTGAAACCTGTAGACTTCAGGCACAATCGTACTCCTAGGGTGATTTCGTCGATTGGGACCTTAGTTGTATGTGTAAACTCATTGTCATTATTAAGCGCATTTCAGTGGTTGCGAAGTCAAATTCATAGGTCAAAGTAGTGGACCGGTGTCAATTAGAATAACAGAGCACAAAAACTTAGCTAAATCAAAATCAGTAGATCCTAATAAGATAAGAAATCTAGAGAAAAGCTCTACTATATCTCTGCATGCGATGACACACAATCACACAATAGGGTGGGATAGGGTGACAGTTTTGAAAACTTAGTTGGGTGGAGATAGGGATTGATGATCACCCAATCTTTGTTCATCGAATCAACACCAAACACATGCGGCAATCGAAATGATTCTGCACCTATCCCAGATATATGGGAAATTCTACTACCCTTGTCATTACAGAGAAGGAGAGAGAATTAGGAATATATAAAGACAGTCTGGAAGTTGTGGAGTTAGTTACCTGATATGAATATGGACAATAAATTGTGTCCTAAACGTTATCCTGTAAATGCTACTGTTTCACTGTGTGATATTTCTAATAAACAGACTAAAATGGAATTACAATCGACCAGAGTGCCCAAGTCCTTACACTTATATTATATAAACCCTGTTTCAATGGTGTGGTGTTATATTAATGATTATTTTTCCCTTGGGTTGCAAGTGGAACATAGGGATTCAGTAGTACGCCTCCATTGCATTCTGTTCTGTGCAGCCTTTTCAGCCTAGCTCCACGTCTGGCCAGAAGCTTCAATTTATTTCTCACATGATGTCCTTCATGTCAGCCTCAGCTCGGACGCCCAACTCGTCGTTTCCCATTCGGGTTCCACTCGAACGTGTGACCTGACACGTGATTTCACCAGTTGGCCTTCTCAGTGTATGCCCAATCCATCTCCACTTCCACTTTCTTCCTCTGCATATTTGTTAGGTGATAGGTTCTTGGTTCGTTCGATCCCAGAATTCCTTGTTGCTTATTCTTTCTGGTCATCTGATCTTCAGTATGAAGTGAGCGTAGTTGACAGCTGTTGATGGATGTCTGTAGTTTGTTGGAGATGCTTTTCGTGACGCGCTAAGTTTCTGAGCCATATAGCAGCACTGACTTGACATTGGTGTTAAGAATCTGGATCTTGTTCTTTGTGCTGAGTGCAGTGCAGTGGATTTCTATAGTGATTTCAGTCTAATGAAAGCCTGTTTTGCTTTTCCTATCCTGGCTTTGATGTCCTCACCTGTGCCGCCTCCTCCTGTAGTTGAAACGATGCTGCCTAGATACGTAAAAGAGACAACTTCCTTTAGGTTTCTCCCGTTGATGCTGGTTATTGGTTGGGTATCTTCATCACCTTTACCTCTGTTTTCTCTACGTTTACTTGAAGTCTTGTCTTCGCTGTCCTGCCAAGCAAGCGTCTTCTTTCAGCTTGTTGGTTTTTGCCTGTAGATTTTCAAGTTTGTGCGACATTAAACATAAATCATCGACGAAATCCAAATCTTCTAGGCTCTTTTCATCGGTCTCGCCAAAGTATGCCCATCTTCTTGCTCCTCACAGTTTACTGCGTAATCCAGTTCACCACTATCAGGGAGATGATTGGTGATAGTAAGCGGCAGCCTTGTCTTACTGAGCCTGGAGTTAGTTACTTGATATGGATATGGACAATAAATGATATCAGTAACGTTATCCAGTATAAATGATACTGTTTCTCCACTGTGTAACATATCTAATGCAAAGAGTAAGAATGGATATTATTTTGCTTTCAAAATCCCTAAGAAATGGATTTAGGCTCGAATTTATGACTCCTACTCGTGTTACTTGTTAAAAGTCAGATGTTTAATTGAATCAATCGACTACAATTTCTGTTTATTACAATTATTATGATGATATTGATTGTACATCTCTTGTTTTCTGTATGCATTTCATAGGTCATCTAGTTTTTTTTGTTACATGTTTATTTATTTATTATTTTACTAGGGATTATTTGTTTCTTGTGTGAATGAACAATCCTCTGCAAGCTTGAATAGAGTACGTTTTGGTGATAAAATACAATGCATCAATGGTATTGAAGTTGTATCGTATACTCAGGCTAAACAACTTATTGAAGAAACATACCCTACTGTGGATTTCTCATTTATTGACTGGTAAGTTGTTTTTTCTTTTTTTTCTTCTAACTGTAAGAGAATAAATTGATTGATGAGCTATGACTAAGAGTCATCGCTCATTAGTTTACATATCTTACTTTCAGTGTAAGCTCCAATCATCATCAACAGGAGAAACCTAAAGGAAGTAGCCTTCACCTATCTAGGCAGGATCGTTTCAACTACAGGCGGCACAAGCACAGAAGAGGATGTCAAAGCCAGTCATGATGGGAAAGACAGCAAGATAGGCGTTTATTCACCTAAAAACAATGTGGAGATCTGCACTCAGCATGTGGAACAAGATTCGGATTTTTCACATTAACGTCAAGTCAGTACTGCTATGTAATGTTTGAGAGACTTGGTGCGTTACGAAAGGTATTCCCAACAAACTACAGACATTCATCAACAACTGCCTACACTGGCTCGTTACTGAAGATCAGATGACTAGAAATAATAAGCAACAAGAAACTCTGGCTGGCGACGAATCAACCAAAAATCTATCTCTAAACAAATATGCAGAAGAGTGTGAAAGTGTAGATGGATTGTGCATACACTGAGAAGGCCAACTGGTGACATCATGCGTCAGGCCAGTTGCTCGAGTGGAACCTCGATAGGAAACGACGAGTTGGGCATGGGAAGTGAGGGTGACATGGAGGAGATCATGTGAGGAAGAAATGAGAGCTTGTGGGCTGTCGTGGAACCAAGTTCACAAGATTGGATAGAACAGAGTGTAATAGAGACGTGCTACTAAAGCCCTATGTTCCATTAGGAACCCAAGGGACAAATAATAATAATACTTTCAGTGTAAAGGGTTGTGGGTACAAACTCTGCTTCATTTCTTGAATGGTTGTTGTTGTGGTATTCTTAACTGTCACATTATAGATGTGCCTAATTTCCTGCTGCACTAATAGATTACTTGGTTACTATATGTTGTTTAATGACCAAAGATAAACTTTGTTTTTGGTCATAGTTGGACTTGCATAGATAGAAATAGGGATATTTGATTGATGGATATCTCAGATAGTTGTAGACGATTCAGTTAACCAATACTAAGTGGATTTGTCCGATATCTGACTATATATCAAAGTGGAATTCATTAAGGGTAAATAAAGTTTCTTCCTTCCTTATTGCACTGATACTTTTTATGCGTACATGTAGAGAGTAATTTCATTATAGGGGATATCTTTGCTGCAGTGTTTTTTTTTCAGCGATACTAAATAAGATGGCTTCTTGGAGTGTTTTTTCAGAAGACCGTCAATTCATGATTTTGGTTCGGTATCCTTTCAGCTTTTGGTATTTTACCGTGGATGTTTCATCACTCCCAGGTTCAGTGACGTCTTCAACACTAACTTCTCTTCCTCAACTTACAGTTGGTCAACATTCAACCTCAAGAAAAACTATCTAAATAATCACGTGACATTCGAATATGCTTCACTTTCTTTATGAATTTAGTGCTAAGGATACCACGAAGCTTGGTGATGAGATGTCCATGAAATCACTGAAACACCACCATCTTCATCCTAAGCTACAAATCTCTTCAATCATTTCAAAAGACCATATGATGCTACTTGTAGTATCCTATCGTTGATTGGATAGAATTGATCGGTCTCTATTGGCAGCATATGCGTTCCTGCACGGATGCCTCGATTTATTATTCTTTGTCCCTTGGGTTCCTAGTGGAACATACAACCTCAGTAGCACGTCTCCATTGCAATCTCTTTTCTACAGTCTTTTCAACCTGGATCAATGACTGTCCACAAGCTTTCATTTCTTCCTCACATCATTTCCTCCATGTCATCCTCACCTCAGACGTCTAACTCGTTGTTTACCATTTGGCTTCCACTCAAGGGCCTGGCCTGACGAGTGGTGTCCCCAATTCGCCTTCTTAGTCTATGTCCAATCCAATCGATCTCCAATTTCTTCTGAATATTTATTGAGGGATAGGTTGTTAGTTGGTTGGTTGCCACCCTGTCAACCAGCTAGAGTTCCTTGTTGCTTTTTCTTATTACTCTGGCGATTTGATCTGATCTTCAGTATGAAGTGAGCGTAGTTAGCAGCTGTTGATGATGTATGTCTGTAGTTTGTTGGAAATGCTTTTCGTAACGCTGCGCCAAGTTTCTGAACCATCACATAGCAGAAGTGACTGACTTGAGTGAGTTAGTGTTGAGAATTGGTATCTTGTTGACGCTGTATGCTGAGTACAGTGCAGTGCAGTGCAGAGCAGAGCAGTAGATCTCTACACTGATTTCAGATTAATGAAGACCTGTCTTACTATCCTTCCTATCGTGACTTTGACATCGTCATGTGTGCCTGTGCCGCGTGTAGTTGAGACGATGCTGCCTAGGTAGTTAGGTAAGTGGAAGAGACCAGATCTTCGGTTGTGTGCAACATGATATATTAGACATCAATGATCATCGTTGGTGAAATCGCAATGTTCTTGTGGTGTTTTTCATGTCATGGGTGAGACAGCGTATGCCTCTCTTCTTGTTCGTCACAATTTGTTGTATGATGCAATACAGTGGATCAGAATGAGGAAGATGATTGGTGATATTAGGCGGCAGCTTTTTCTTACTCGTGTCTTCATTTGAAAGGGGTCACTGAGCTTTTGATTGTGAATCACTGTATGTGTGGCGTCTTCATATAGTTGTTGAATGAGGTTGATAGAGGTTTGTGGGACTGAAATCGTAGAGTAGAAGTGGCTGCCTGCCAAATTACTTGTCAGTTGACGTTGTCGAAGGGCTTTTCAGAGTCGATGAAGTTGAGGTAGTTTTGAGTTGACTGTGATTGTATGCTGTGTTGTATGATGATGGGTAGTGTGTAGCGTTGTGATGTGATTGTCACATGATTGGTTCTTTCTGAAGCTATCCAGCTAGCTAGATAGTTAGATAGCTAGCTAGCTAGGCAGCCAACGATCCAGCCAGCGTGTTGGTGTTGTAATTTTGAATCGAGAGTATTTTTCAGTCTCTCTAGTATGATGTGGCCTAATATTTTGCTTGGTTATAATGGACAAGAAGAAGGTGAGCATGATTCCGTGCCCATTGCTGTTCTTTGAAAGACTTAGGTCGCCTTTTTTTGTGAGTTTGACAAGGTAGTCGTTCTTGTAGTCAATCTGCAGGTACCTTTCGTTCCTTGCTTGCTTTCTTGCTTCGTTGCAAACATTGTGCAGTAGTGATGTGAGCATGTCTGTTGTTGTCTGTGTGTATGTTTTCAGTGCTTGTGGTGGAATTCCATGTGGTCGTGCTGCTTTGCCGGATTTTAGTGAGTGTATGGTGTTGAGGACTTTGCTGGTGGTTTTGTCGTAGGTCTTGTGTTAAGTGGTAAGTTTGTGTCTGAGTTGCTGGTGGTATTTCTGGAAGAGTTGCAGGTGGTGTGGTGGTGGTGGTGGTGGGTTGAAGATTTTTGTGAAGTGGTCATCCCATTGTTTGATTGTTTTCCCCTCTTTGGTGGTAACTAGTTATCCTTGACTATCTGTGATTGGTTTCACCTGTGTTGATCTCTTCCCTCCCAGATAGTGAGTGACCTGGTTATTTGATATAGTGTTGTGAGGTCTCTGTCTCTGGTACTGGCAGCCTGCAGTGTGTTCTGCCTCACTTGTGAATGTGTCGTAGAAGTGTGTGTTTGCGCGTACTCTTCTTGACTTGTTTGTCCAGTGTAGTTCCTCTTTTCGTTGTTCCCGCCTACAGTGCACTGGTTCATCTTCTACTTCACCATCTCCATCTCTATCTTTGTCTCCCTCGTCTATCAGCTTCCATGTATCCGTGGGGATCCACTCGTTGTTTTGCCTCTTCTTGTTCCTTCCTAACACGGTTATGCAGGATTCGTTCCAGGTCACATGACTTTCACAGAGTTCCAGTGTTATTCCACACAGGTTTCTTCAGGGATGTTGTCTAATGTCTCTGAATTTGTCCTGATGACTGACTGGTGTGAGGATGTCCTTTATAGTTTCGTTGTTTAGTTCGGTTTCTGTTGTGGGTGTTGAAATTGAAGTGTGGTTGTGCATGACCAGTTTCTGTGAAGACTTTCAACTTGATTTTGAAGTTAGATTCCTTGTACTAGATAGTGAGTTGTGTGAAGGAAGATGTGCTCCCCTTTTTGGTCTTGTGTTGAGTAGGCTGACTGCGTCTCCACTTTCTTGAGATTGAGGTCAAGTGGATGTGATTTTTAGTGTGTTGTGTCCTGGTGTCTGGTGAAATCAAATGCATGTCACTGCTTTGTGAATATCGTTGTGTTTGTACAGAGTGTGTGACTCCAATCAGGAAATCGTTGAATGCTGAGAAACCTGGAAACGTTTGTGTATTGTCATTCATGATTTCAGCGAGTGCTTCTCTACCGATGATGATGATGAGTTCTGTTGCTGTGTTGTCTGCTGTCAGTTTGGCATTAAAACATGTCACCGCACCCATTGGAATGAATTTTGATGTCTCCATCTGTGGTGAGTTGTTGTCGAGTGCTGATCGGAGTTGTGTGTAGAATTTCTCCTTCTTCTTTTGAGGTGCATAATTTGTAGGTGTGTAGTGTAGTGTAGCACTGTGTGATTGTGACTTTCGTTTGTTTTGAGTTGAATGCATCTTGGTGTTATGATGCTGATGGTGGAGGAGGAGATTTGTTGCCACTGCATGAGAGTGAGGCTTTGATGGTGTTGTGTACATGATGATATCCAGTGGAAGCTCAGTGTGCTGTGCTGGTGGTTGTCGTGTGGGTGACAATATTGGAGTAGATTATTGACTGCTGTCTAGTTGACAGTTGGGTGAGTCCACTTGCATTTCATTCCATCTTGAGATTCCTGACAGATTGCTTGGACTTCTATGCTGTGTCTTCTCATGTGTTTTGCAATCTGGTAAGCCTTGTCGGTCAACCAGCCAGCTTCAAACATTGTTTGGACGTACCCTGTCCTTGTGTTTACTTTCGCTTTCATTGAGAGAGAGAGGGAGGGAGAGAGAAAGAGAGGACACATCAGCGAATTGGTTTTTTGAAGGCTTTCAGTAGGCGGCGTTATTTTGTGTTTCCGATTGAAGTGAGGAATAAGTTTATTTTTAGTTTTTATATTTTCTTAGTGGTTTGAAGTTTGTTTGGGTATTGGATTGCATTTGGGGGTGTAGGGTTGCTAGCCGTATGCCTAACCTTTCCTCTTTATTCGGGTTTGGGACCGTCTAGTAACTATTGGTGTAGTTAATCAAACGAGACTGGATGCCTCGATGGTCTTTGTATTTTCTATTTTATATGTATGATGGTCCAGTCAGCGCCCTAGGGCTTGGAGGGAACGCTCTCGGATTGTAGTTTATGTGAAAACTATCACTTACTGGGTCGAGAACGCCTCCAGCTGACTAGTACCGAATAGGTGGAAACGCGCGTCCTGGATTCCTCTTATATCAAAAGATTCTTGGTTCAATCTCAGTTCACCTTTATATGTGGTGATCTGTATTTGTTGTGTGGTAGTTGAAGATACTACTAGTCAGCTGCCCGAATTCCCAATAGGTAACTCAGGTTTCCACCTCATTGGCTTACTGTTATTGGTTGAAAGTTAGACCATAACAACTACATGAGTTTTGCATTATTTGTCTCCAGTGTCCACCAACCTCTATAATTTTATCGACTCCATGTTATATTTTTTTTCTGTCTTTCCCACTCTATTGCCTCCTTCAGCCCTTATAGAGAAGCTAAAACAGTATATAAAATACGTGGCAGATGTGGCCTATTCATCAATGATGGAATGATTTTAGATCATACAAAGTACTTTAGTCCTAAAAGTGATAAAATTCCACTGAATTATTATATTACTGAAATTGATGGTCATAGTACTATTGGTGTACTTGATGAAAAAATTGCTGAACTAATTGAAGCAGTTAATTCTCCATTTATTCTTCATATTGTACCTCAGTGGTTTTATGAATACCTTGTCTATGGGTAAGTTTTTATTGTATATATATATATATATATATATATATATATATATATATATATATATATATATAATTTATTAGTCCCTTGAGTTCCTAGTGGAACATACGGCTTCAGTAGCACGTCTCCAGTGACCTCTGTTCTCTGAGATCGTTTGAACCTGGTTCCACGACAGCCCACAACCTCTCATTTCCTCCTCGCACGACCTCCTCCATGTCACCCTCGGACGTCCAACTCGTCGCTTCCCACGGGGATTCCACTCGAGCAGGCCTGACGCGTGATGTCCTCAGTCGGCCTTCTCAGTGCATGGCCAATCCATCTCCACTTCCTCCTGCATATTTGTTGCGTGATAGGTTCTTGGTTGGTTTGTTCCCAGAGCTCCTTTTGCTTATTCTCATTGTTCTGGCAATCCATCTGATCTTCAGTAGCGAGCCAGCGTAAGCAGTTGTTGATGAATGTCTGTAGTTTATTGGAAATGCCTTTCGTGACGCGCCAAGTCTCTGAACCATATATATATATATATATATATATACGATATGTCTACAGAAGTGTAGTGGTGTAGACAAGTTTAACTATTTAATAGTTTATGTAAAATTGTCTGGTAGCCCATTGAATTACAAAACTTGACTGTCAACTAGTATTGGTAAGTCTGATACGAGTTTGAACTCTGTTCCGTCTACCTCTGGTCTGTTCCAAGGATTGTCACTAACCTTCACATGATAGGATGAGTAGTTACTGGGCTACAGTGAACTCTTGGTTATTGTACCTCTGTGAAATATGGCTGTTGAAAGTAGATGTGAAAAGATTACACGTTCTCGAACACAAGTGTTTTTTACAGCATTGCTCCTACATAGTAGCATCGTCATGCGAGTATTGTTGAGGTTAAGTGAAGGGTACTCTTAGCAAGATAGACGAGTCAATCGATAAGGTTGTTGACCTCCAATGATTTATTATTTATTAGAACATAAATGTGGTATAGCAACAGTAACAGAAAATGAGCCACACAAAGTAATATATCATCATTATGAAGACATAAAAAAAAGGCAAGTGGATAAAAATAAAGCACAATAAGAATAGGATGATTAGAAGGGCAGTCCAGTAAGGTATATTCGAAACGAAACATTCATTCCTTTTCAGCTGCAGAAGATAGATGGAAGCCACAACATGACCGCCACTAGTTTCGATTCTCAGGCATATCTGATAAAGGCTGAAGCCACACACACTGAGTAGTGTGGTCTCTCGGACCCCGTCTAAAGAGTCGTAATGCACCAACAGATACTAACTCGATGCAACTATCCTTCATCCCATAGTTCGACTTCATACACTGACCACACTTCCACTTCTTCCATCCAGTTCCAGGGCTAGCACGAAATGAACGACATGGGAGCTGTCACGACGTCGGTGTTTCCAGATGACTTCACTTATCGGATTATTATTATTATTATGTCCCTTGGGTTCCTAGTGGAACATAGGGCTTGAGTAGCACGTCTCCACTGCACTCTCTTCTCTGCAGTCTTACCTTTCAACCTGGATCCACGTCTGGCCAGAAGCTTTCATTTCTTCCTCACATGATGTCGTTCATGTCATCCTCACCTCGGACGTCCAACTTGTCGTTTCCCATTTGGCTTCCACTCACGGGTCTGGCCTGGCGCGTGATGTCCCTAATCGGTCTTCTCAGTGTATGCCCAATCCATCTCCATGCCCAAGCACATGCTATAGTACCTCAGAAGTACTTACATGGTGTTGCCGCTGGATACAAGCAATCCTACAGAAACAAAGATGATCAAACACACAGGGTCGTCGCATATCCTCAACTCGGATAGACCAGGTTTCACAGGTGTAGAGCAGAACTGCTCACACCGAAACGTTTTAAACCCGACAGTTTAGAATCAGAACAAGGTGGTGACGGTGCCTAAGGTGTCCCAGACTGATGTATGACACTCTGACTTTCGATGTGCGACTAGGGATTTCATCAGATACTTCCACCAGCACTCACACAACTATTCGGACGACACATGAACTTTTCGATTACTTCTAACAGCCCACCACCGAGGTTGAGAGGAGGCGTAGGTGCAGGTTTCTGCCAATCTTGCAAAATTACCTTGCACTTCGATGGTACAAAGTATATACTATGGTTACCATCTTAAGTGGCTTCGAAATTTATTGAGAGTCTTGGACCAGCGTCTACTTTGACGAGCAATGTCAACTGAGGTCTGGTTAGGTTGGAAGAGGGTTCAGGATGACTACACCAAGTGAAGTATCTAAGTGTTAAAGTGAGTCGTGTAGATTACGTCACTGTAGTCCTCGGCACGATAGGAATGAGTAGGTGACAGCTGTTGGTGAAATGATTGAAAACTGGCCATAGTGGTGTAGATTCATTCATTCTTCGATGTTTTCTAAAGCTTGAATGGTTTGACTAACCTTAGATTTGAAATCCCCTCTCCTCTAATACACCTTTGTCTACTCTGATATCAGTCTATCCTATCGAGTGAGGTGAAGGAACTTGAATGGAAGGAGTTCTGCACGAGGTTCTATGTTGATTTTGTCTATCTATTTGACATGATAAGTGTTGGTCATTTTCTAGTAGACAAACTTATGCTCGATTGTTGAATCAGGTTACCTAATAATGTCTATAGACTTTGAGCAAGCAGAATGACCTTTTGAATGCGAGTACACAGATCGTTTATCCAACCTTTTTTCAAAGATTTCCGATAGTTTAATGAAAAGATACGATATATTTTATTCAAGCGAAAGTTACTGTCTTTAGGTTCGAAATTCCAAAACATTTCGGACATAAAAATCTTGTTTATAGGTTTGATGAATCGGACAAAATATTTGAGTGACAAAATGCTCACCGTTAAAGTTGATGGTCTAAGGTTCGATTCCTGACGAATTCATACGTGGACACTGCTCAGCAGCGCCATACTAGGACGAAGTACCTGTCTATTACTCCCAGGTTTTCAATAGTCCTTCAACTGATGGCCTATCTGTGATGAATATCACCTTAAAATCATTCAATCTCCTCCTAGCTTCAAGCAACAACTAAAGCCAACTTTAATGAAATAGTGTTATCAATAAATTTAATACCAACAAGCATGTGAAATGATTTCTGTCAAAGGAACATGGAAGACAATCTTAAGGGATGTCTACATCCGTTATATTCCATGCTTATAATTTGTATATTTTGAGCTATTTTTCTTCATGCTATTCTCCCACTCAGGGGTCATGCAGCCTCTTAGCGTCTCTTTAAATTGACCAATCATGCCTCATCTTTCAAGGTCATTGTAGACTTTATAAATAGGGTCAGTTTTCACTGATAAACATTTTTCAGTCCGAGATATTATGAAATCAACTGGTTACAAGACTTTTGGTTTTTCTTTGCGAATCACTCGGATTGAATCGTCTCAACTCTTGACCATCGATCGTTAAGTATTTTCTTTCATTCTCAAAACTCCACATCGTGACAACAATTCGTTGATATTTTGATAAATAATGATCTACTGATCCATCTCAATAAGAGTACTGGTGTAGTCTTTGTAGACCGATTCCAAGACACGCAAGTCGATTGATGTTGTAAACTTTCATTGGCTGAGGTGGCTTCAACACGTATTGCGGATACTGAGCCACTGCCTACATTGATGTGCAATGCTAGAGAAGGCTAGATTCGGTTGAAAGAGAGTTCATAGTAGCCAAACTAAAACATGGTACCAGTCAATGGAGTGCATGACCGTCACTCTGAGCCGTGTTAAGGAGATGAAGACTACCTGGTTAAAGTCCTTAAGACGAAAGGGATCATTGGTTCAGGACACTTGGTAATATAGTTAAAAATCGGTCACTCCTTCTTTATCCACTTGTTCTTTGAATGCTGCTATGAACTGTGGCAAGGTGAATCGGTGCATCTATATGCTAGGTCCTACCTTTGATTTTGTTCGTCTGTTTATCTGTCTCCCTGAACCGATTCAATCACTTCCGGAAATCGTCATTTGGTATATCAGACAAAGACATATTTAGAAAAGACATTAGTGAAAAAGATACTTCATCATCATCATCATCCAAATCAACATAGGACCAGGCATTGCTGCGTAACTTTCCAACTTGCCACATCTCATACCAGTACATCAAGTTAAAAGACAGTGAAGTGGAAGATGAAGAAGGAATGGAAATTTGGTCGAAAGAAATATAAAGTACTAAAAGAAAGGAAGACTGAGAAAATGGTGAGATTCAGTACACTAGTTAAGATGAGGATAATGTGTGTATATATCTGTGCCATTGATTTCGATTCTGAGCCATATCACCTAGAGTCTCTAATCACTGGTTTCTTCTTGTCCAGCCGACCCCAACCACCTAGTCTGCATCGCTCCACTTGAGTTAGAGACTTCATACATTGATGCCATGTTTTAGTCTGTCTGTCTCGGGCATTTTTCTAGCCTGAACCTACTTCGGCCAATATTGTGTGACGAGGCAATCGGCGACTAAGCATACGTAACACATGTTCCAGCCAACTATCTCAGTCGATGAAGGTTCACGACCTTGTCAACCGACTTACCTCTTCTCCCTAAAGCTCTACACCTGACGTCTGCACTACTCACGTTGTGACACCACGGAATACGGCCTATACTACGAAGGCAACGGTGGTTAAACACCTGAAGCCAGCCTTCTCATGTCTTTCACCTTCAATGGCCATGTTTCACAGGCATATAGTAGAACAGAGCGGACTGCTATGCAGTACACGCGATCCTAAATAGACAATCGGGTTTCACGACGGCGCCTTAGGTGGCGTAAGCTGGTGAAAGGCAACGAGACTTTTGTATGTGCAGAGATTTCATCGGCCACTGACCAGAGCTGATCCCACTTCATTTTCCAGGTAAGTGAAGTGGTCAACACACTCAACCTCTACACTCTCTATTGTTAGCCGTGGTGTGGGCATTGTTGAAGACCAATCCTAGAGCAACAATTTAGATTTGGGTGGTGAGAAACGCATCTGAAACATTCTCAAATTTCCACTGAAAGTGTTCAGAAGACTCTGCATCTTGTCAGCGTCTTCGCCTATCTAGTCTCCCAATAAATAACACTAGGAGAATCTTTCACTATATCCGATTTTGAACATGAATAACTCAGTCCATCTTTATACTATTACTGCTAACAATAGAGAGTGAGTGGTTGAGTGTGTTGACCACTTCACTTACCTGGGAAGTAGGATCAACCCGGTGGTTACTTGCGGTGAGATTTCTGCACGGATACAAAAGGCTCGATTGGCTTTTGCCAATTTGCGCCACCTATGGCGCCGCCGTGATATTCGTTTGTCTATTAAGGGTCGCGTGTACTGCACCTGCACGGCAGTCCGCTCTGTTCTACTATATGGCTGTGAAACATGGCCACTGAAAGTGGAGGATACAAAAAGGCTTCAGGTGTTTGGCCACCATTGCCTTCGTAGTATAGGCCGTATTCCGTGGTGTCACCATGTGAGTAATGCAGAAGTTAGGTGTAGAGTTTTGGGTAGAAGAGGTAAGTCAGTCGACGAGGTTGTTGAACCTTCATCGACTGAGATGGTTGGGACACGTACTACGTATGCCTAGTCACCGATTGCCTTGTCACACAATGTTGGCTGAGGTGGGTCCAGGCTGGAAAAAGGCCCGAGGTGGCCAGACTAAAACATGGCACCAATGTATGAAGTCTCTGACTGTTGGTTTAAGCCATGTAGGACGATGCAGACTAGATGGTTGGGATCCACGGGACAAGAGGAACCAGTGGTTGGAGACTGACCCTAGGTGATGTGGCTGAGAACCGAAGTCAGTGGAGCAGATGTATACACACATTATCCTCATCTTAACAACGCTATACCGAATCTCACTATTTTGTCACTCCTCTTTCCTTTCTTCACGTACCTTATATCTCTTTTGACTGCATTCACTTATCTTCATCCTTCACCTCACTACCTTTTTACTTGATGTGGTGATATGAGGTGTGGCAAGTTGGACCGTTAGGCAGTAATGCCTGGTCCTATATTGATAATGATGATGTAATGACTATTACTAAGTGATTGACTGAAATCCTTCAAAGTTGGTTCAGTACACCATCGTAATAGGCATATTGTGTTAGATTCATTTGACTTCATCAATATGGTTATCAGATGGTTCATCTCTCTCATCTATGTATTTGTAAGTGTGTACACACATATGTGCATGTTTTTCTTTCCTCTCCTTTTTTGTTGTTTTTTTTTAAAAAAAAACTACAGACTAGACCCTTCAGGTAATGGAATAAAAAAGAAAAGGAGATATTTGTCTTTCAGCTGTTTTCGTTAATCGTATACAAATATGATCATCTCACAGTGAATAGAATATCAACCCCGTTTTCATTACTGTTCATGCTGATTTCGTGAATACACCTTCATTTATCATTGATTATTATTATTATTATTATTATTCAGAGTATTTCTTAAGCATATTGTTTATTATTATTGTTACTGTTATCATTACTATTATAGCGCCAACCATGAAGATAAGATGTTAACAAAATTGAACTATTTATTTTCTTATTTTCAATCATTTTGTTTTTGTTTATGACTTCTGTTCTACCGCCACCTTCCGCCCCCCCCTTCCGTATGCTTCTCTTTATGATATCAATAAGCGCCATTTATAGATTCCTGTGATGTTTCGTCTCTCTGGTCATCTTCAGCTGTTTTCATTTTGTGCGTGTGTTTATTTGCATGATATCTTATTTGCCTTATCTTTTCATCATAATATTGTCGTGATTGGACTATTGCCTTTCATTTATCTATTCAGTTATCATTATTTTTGTTTATTAACGTAATAATTCTTCATTTCTTAGTATCATCTGTTGATGTGCTTTTGTTTCTGGATGTTGTGTTACATTGGGGGCGGGGGGGGGCTGTTTTGTTTGACCAGGCCTTCATTGCGCTGCTAAACAGTTGTGTGGATATGTTGTTACTTGTATATTTGTTGCACAAGAAGTTACTGAGTGAATAACACCCTGGCATCTGAAGCTATGTGTACTGGGTTCCAGTCTTGGTGGGAAAGATATCGCTCACTGGGAGGCAGGTACATACGTCTTACATGTGCCATATGGGACGAAACGCACGTCCTGGATTCTATTGCTAGTCACTATGCATAATCACGATAAAGTTGAGTGATCGATGTCGTTTTGTCGATTTCTAAGTGCTGACCGAAGCGTATTCCTCGAGCGAAAAAAACTCAGGACCACGGTGCACTTTGATTGATATTGCTTGAAGGTGATCAGTGCGATAAACTCAACTTTTAATTAGCAGTCGAATATCTTGCTAGCATTGTAAATAGCGTCCGTTGGCAGAAGCTAAGCGGGGATTTTATATTTGTGCAGAGATTTCTTAGGTCCCGATCATCAGGGATGATCCAACTTCCCAGGTGACTACCGTAGTGGTCAAATCACTCAACCTCTTCGCTATGTTATCAAACAGGGTACCAAAGTAGGTCGTCAACCCCGAAGCAACTATTTACATTTAGGTGGTAAGAAACACATCCAAAACATTCTCAAGGTATATAGAAGACAGATTAAACATTGTAGCAGTATTTTAGTTCTTCAAGTTGGCACTCATTATGGACTGACATCAGTCAGAGGAACATTGGAAACCTTGGGGCACTGGACAGCTATTTCATCCTGGTATGGGACTCCTTAGCGGTGCGCACCCATGACCCCACCCGTCAGTGGTCGAACCCAGAATTTTCAGGTTCCATGACCGGCACGTTGCCGTTAAGCTACTGCATTGAAAGAAGTTCGAAATATGGATCATTAGATTCCGACCCAGTGGCTCAATGGTAAAGTGCTGGCCACGGAACCTGAACGCCTTTGGTTCGACCCCTGGTAGGGCGGAGTCATGGGTGCTCACTGCTGAGGAGTCCCGTACTTGGACGTGATAGCTGTCAAGTGCTCTCAGGTTTTTAATGTTCCTCATAGGGGTTAAAAATAATGACTGGGTCGTCAAAATGAACAATAGATATTCAGTTCATTGATGACATCTGCACATTCATCGCGTAGTTAGATGACAAAGGTTTTTGCAACGGGAAGTTACAAGTATCAATGAACAGCAAGTGATAGTCATTGCAAAAGTGGTGGCTGTCACGCTCCAGCGGTCTTTTAGAAAGGTCATTGCGGTTTAAAGCTATGGGTACTGTCTTCGAGTCTCAGTGAAGACAATATCACTTGCTAGGGTACAGTTACATCTAGGTGATGAGTCCCAAATAGGATAAAACAAGTGACATGGATTCCACTCCTAACCGCTAAGTGGACTCGAATTGTTTATTAACCATAACTATTTCACTTGCCTTGTTGTAATGTGTACACATTTAATAAGTAACTCTTAGAGAATAGCTTCTCGGATTTCGACATTGATTTGCCTCCTCTATATCTGATGACAGACGAATTCTGCTGTATTCAGTAATAGTCTGTTGATGAATAATGATAATGCATTGAATGGTGTGTTTTCAGCTTAGATGAACATTATATAGATTGGAGGTGAACTTGGAAATCTGATTCACACTCTTTGTATATAGGATCTCTGATCCTGATTGACCATTTTTCTATTCCATGACAAAATATAGTGAAGTTTTAAGAGGATATAAACTGTATTGTTCGCTTACATATCTTATCATTTGAATGATGAGAATTATTTAGGATTCGCAAATATGTGATTGGTTCACAAAAATAGGTGTAGGAAGCAGGTGTCAGTCTCTGACCTTCTCATCATAGGTCTTAGAAACTATGCATGTGCATTCAATTTTGAAAATGTAGTGCTTTTGGATAGAAGAAACAAAGAATATTAGAGAATTCCTAAAAGCTTGGCATTCATGTCATTCGAACAAGGGATATATATCTATACATGAATCTGATCTATCAACCAATAAGAAAGACAATAAACAACTACCAAGGCCAGAGAAACAGGAAAATATATACAGTCATTGACACAACAGTCAAGAAACCACCAATCACAAGCCACTTCACCTGGGCAAACTACTGAACCAATCACAGAAAAGTATGTGTAGCTCATTTCATACTAAATTTAATGCTGATTATGTTGTCTAGACAGAAAGTGAATACTTCATGGCTAAGCAACCCAACTAAGAGGATGCAACACAACCACGATTGTATACACCTCCATGAGAAAGTAATGAGTCTAAGTAGAACAGACTGTTTATTGGCCATTTCACTAAGTTGTTTGATGTTCAGCTTGAAATTCCACTTAACTATTCATCCAGGTTTATCTAGATAACATGGAGCTGTTACTCATTAGTGTGGATGGTCGTCCGGCATCCAAACTTTGGCCTACCCACTGAGTTCTGGCCGAACAGGTATTAAAAATTATTCTCATCTGATAGACAGGAAGTAGTCTCACATGTAATCCAGTATTCTGCTCATGTACACTAGAGAAAACCGCCTTGTGTTCTACTACCTTAAACACTGATAGGTCACGGCGGCGTTTTTATACCCTAAAACTGATGTACCCAGGTTACATACTACTGATTAATATCAGTGGTTAAAAGCTATACTAACTAATTATCAGGGCTACTTGTTAGATAGAAGAGAGATTTCCTAGCTACACATGCCAGTTAATAGTATGCACAACATACAATTCTTCTGGTTGTTTTCTTTGAAACCAATCTCACTATCATGCAAATCACAATGTCTGATAGGAAAATATTGATTTCCAGAGGAAATCACAATGGAATCCAATAATTGAGTTGCATTACCCATAGCAACATAGGACGAGGTATACCTGCATAACAGTCCAAGTTGCCAGGTATCATTTCAGCCTATCAAGCGACAAAGCTCTGAGATGAGAGATAAAGGCATAGAGAAGAGTTGGTGAAAAGTAGTGGAAGAGAGAAAGTAGGGATGAGAAAATACCGAATTCTGCATGACGGTTAAGATGAGGATAATGTGTGAATACATCCGCGTCACTGAGTTCGATTCTAAGCCATGCCATTTAAAGCTCTGCAACCAACGGTCTTTATTGTCACGCGGACTCCAACTAAGGAGTCTACATTTCCCTACTGAAGTGACTGACTGGATAATAACAAGTAGGTGAAACGGTAATAAAGCAACAGGATAACTGAACTGGATACCAAACGGAAATGTTCCTCTTCAGACCTTATGCTGCAAAAATTAGAAGACGAAGACCGGCCTGTGACTGTTAGGAAGGCAAATTTATCTGAAAAAAAAATCACATCATTTATACACAGTTTTCCCTCAGAAAATGAAGCTTCTAGGTCACGCGTTGGATACTTATTTTCACTGACCAGCTGAAGGACACAGTTGCTCAACAGGATATTTTTGCCCACGCAAAACCAAGGTTGTAATCATAAACTTCTGCATTGAGGGATGATGACTTTGAATACTGATTCTTACCACCTACATGGCTCGGAACAACTATCAAAATCTTCATGCAATGATGCCACGTAATCAGGGCACTCTTCACTCTTTTCTAGCCGGAATCTACTTCAGCTAGCACTGCACGAAGAGGCAGATGGTGACTAGGCATGTGTAACACATGCCCCAGGCATATCAGTCGATGAAGTTTCACTGACTAGCATCTCCTATCTTAGACTGTACACCGGTCTTCTGTATTACTGATGTGGTGACACCACGGCAGCCTTCTTACATCGTCTACTTTTAATGACGATGTTTCACAGTCATAGGGTAGAACGGAGCGAACTGCAGCACAATACACCATGAACCAGGAATGGTGTAAACTCGGTCACCTTTATAGTACTTCAAAGAATGTTTATCAAAAAGGCTTGGTTATTTAAATTACACAATGAAAGGTAGGTAGCAAGAATTTAGTTTCTTTGCCAAACAAAATGCACTCAGTCACCTCATGTACATTCGTACAGTCAGCAGTTAGTCACACCTATTGTGTGAGGGTTAGAGATGATAATACTTGGCTGTCCAAATCTCCGTGGGTGGGGTGGGGACTGAATGGACAACCCTGCTGGTTGGTAAGCGTCTCCATAAATCATTGAGTAGCAGCTAAACATTCTTTCCCAAAGTCTGTCTGCATACTTTTATATTTTGTGCTGTAATTGTGAGTTATATCGATGTACAATTCAAGGTTTATTGAATTCGCATGTCTTACCCAAGTTTTCCATGTATTTACTGGTGTTGGGGTCTACTTTACGCCGGAACAGTATACAAGAATGAGAATTAAAACTTATCGAAGTGACAGTTGTATAATTATTTTTATATATAACGTATAGTTTAGGGTTGTTATTGTGGGTCAAGTTGGTGTTTCTTTTGCATAAAATTCATTTAG